ACTTTTTGATTTACTTGAGAAAATTCACCAGTATTGTCTAACTGGCTGGGACCGAATGTAGTTGTCCAATGGCGTGGCTAGGCGTTGTTGCCGGATCCTTAACATTTTCCTATTTTTTATGAATTGGTCAAATATGATTTTTTGTTATTTTAAAGCTAATAATTTTTATTAATACTTTAGGGCTCTTGCGCCCCCCTTAATATTGCTTGGCGCCCCCCTAAGGGGGCGCGCCCCCCAGTTTGGGAACCACTGCTCTACATAGATTATTTAAATTTGGAAAGTGTCCAAAATTGATGCATATTTTATTATATAACCGTTTAAAAGGTTTATTAGATTACAAAATTAAAGACCTGACTTTAAGTAGACATTTATACAAGGGTGTCGATAAGGGGGGGTAATGGGGGTAATTACCAAGATTATCTTGGTCCTAAGAAAAAAATTACTACAAATATAATTTATGAATGCAAGTCGCCCTCCTCCATGAATAGTTTTTAAAGTGTGGCATAATAAAAGAAAAATAAGGACTTGGCTTCGGGATTACCTAGGCACCGTAAACACGGGTGACTTTGCACCCCGCAGGTGACTTTAACCCTTTTATGAAAAATCTTTACGCGCTCGATAAAATTAACATTTATAATTTGTTGGTCTAAACCTGTCAATTAAGCGATTCTTTTGAGTTTATATTACAGGAAAATCAGTGTTTTAAAGAAAGAAATGGGATTTATTACACTTTAAAATTGTATATATCGCATCAGTGCAAAACTCTTAGAAATACACGCGTTACAATTTCTATATTATGCGCAATCCTTTGGAATGATGATCCTTGGTTAACTACAGGTCGGTTTTTTATTTTTTTTTATCGGTAATCCCTTGCAATAAATATATGTCGCTGCTAACATAGAATAAAATAAAAATTTTATTTTTGAAACTCAGCCCTATGTAATATTATAACATAGTTATTATGAAAGAGCAACTCAAGACTCAAATTTTGGTATACAAAATTTAATGTTTATGATTGTTAAAACCAAAAAAAATTTAAACTTAAGTTTGAAAGTGAGCTAAAGCCACCCTTAAAAAAGAATATATGTTTATAAGATATTTAGTTTTGGTACCTTATAATCCTTTTCCCCAATATACAAAAGGAGTTTTGAAAAATTATTTTCTTTATAATATATTATGTTACCCCCCCCCCCCAAAAAGAAAAAAATATCGTCGCCCTTGCATTTATATCTTTTAGAAATATTACTGATATATTTCAGAAACATTTCTTAAAAATCCGACTTTAATAGTAGGTACTGTTATGTATTAAGTTTTATAAACGCCATTTTAGTTACGAGTTTTATTAGGCACGAACACAAAGAATATCAATTATTGAATAAAAAATAGATAACATTTGTGAATGCACGTTTAATCACACCAGGCGCACGGCGTTAGTCTTTAAACATTTTATAGCAAAACTATTGACAAAAATGGATTAAGCGACCTCAAAAAAATATCAAATAAAATGTTTAAAGCAAAACCCGCGATTCAGCGACCTCAAAAACTCGAAGGTGAAGAACTTCTTTTTTTGTATTAATATCGCATCAGTACATTTGTCCACTTAGATTTGGGATCCTTACCACTGTGTGCCGCGCCTTCCGAAAATTTTAATAATATAATTACCCAAAATAATTATAGGTATGTAATTAATGTAATTTTTTCCTAATTATTATTGATTAATTAATTTCAAAGTAACCCCGGTGCATTCGGCATTTTCGACAATACTTATAAACAGTACAAAAAGTAGAACCGAGGGTAGGGGAAGGTGGGGGAATTCTGCGCATCTAAGCAAAATCTCTACTATCTTTGTTAAGTTTAAATGTGAAATTTTGCAATTAATACCAGCGATAGTCTACTATGTTTACTATGTGGATATAGGTAATGCGCAATTTATAAAAAAAAATGTTTGGTATGCAAAAACTACATTTTTTTAAATAATGCATTTGCGCAAAATTACCCACCCGCATCATAGTGGGAAAATTTGCGCTGTATAGAGAAAGATTTGTAGGTATCTAAATAAACCGTTTATTTCTATAATATTATTATATTAAAACATAAAAATAAAACAAAACTATTTTCTCTATGAAACAAACAAAACAAACAAAATCAAAAATAAATAACTAAAAATAAAATTTTTGTTCTTAAAAATAAGAGGGTCTACATGCAGCATTTGTCACATTTGTAGTTTTAGGGTTTTTTTTCGCTACACTCCGCGTGTGCCCAAATGGAACTGTTTATGCTGAACAATCTAGGCTCATGTATACCAAAGCTCCCATATTGGCCAAATTTTGCAGCGCAAAATTACCCAATTTTTCAGCGTAAAATTACCCCCATTGCAAGAAAAATATTGTGATACTAAAAAACTTTGCAAAAGTTAACCTGAACAATTTAAACATACACCAGATTACGAGGAAAGATCATATAAAGTTGTGTTATAAACATTTAAGCGATTGGGCAGAAATTTAAACTTAACTCGTAGCGCAAACGACATGGATTTCTTAGATCAACGTACATGTATCACAGTTAGCTAGTGACTATGGTCACTAGCTAAAAGCTACAAGCTTAATTGCGGTACACTTTAGTCCTCGTATACAAACAAACAAAATCAAAAATAAATAACTAAAAATAAAATTTTTGTTCTTAAAAATAAGAGGGTCTACATGCAGCATTTGTCACATTTGTAGTTTTAGGGTTTTTTTTCGCTACACTCCGCGTGTGCCCAAATGGAACTGTTTATGCTGAACAATCTAGGCTCATGTATACCAAAGCTCCCATATTGGCCAAATTTTGCAGCGCAAAATTACCCAATTTTTCAGCGTAAAATTACCCCCATTGCAAGAAAAATATTGTGATACTAAAAAACTTTGCAAAAGTTAACCTGAACAATTTAAACATACACCAGATTACGAGGAAAGATCATATAAAGTTGTGTTATAAACATTTAAGCGATTGGGCAGAAATTTAAACTTAACTCGTAGCGCAAACGACATGGATTTCTTAGATCAACGTACATGTATCACAGTTAGCTAGTGACTTAGTCCTCGTATACCCAAAGCAACGTTTCCAAGTTTGCAACATTAAAAAAATGTATTATTTACTTCATAAGAATTGTTTATGCGTAAAATTACCCACCGCGCAAAATTCCCCCACCTTCCCCTACGGAATCCTCAGCTCGCGAATTGGACTCGTACAAGCCATTTTATTTAATATCAACACACAGTGTTGACCTCCAAATTAATGCGGTTGAGGACCCCAATCATTATATGAACTTTTTTCCTTCAGTTTTAGCATCAAATTAAGATGCACCCTGTATAAATCAAGAACAACCACGCGTCGAATCACGATTCTTGACTCGACGCGTCGTTGTTATTGCAAGCCTTGTTGAACTTCAGAAATTATAGGTAGGAGTTACCAGTTTTTGGGATAAGGATTCGAGAATACGGGATTATTGTAAAAATATAAAAAAATAATTTTTTCTGCTCCCATCTTTAAAACGCCCATTATTGTACAGGTTTCCATGACACTAAGTGACCTTTTAAATACACATTGGAAAGTTGTGGCTTTATGGCGTTTTAGTCACGGGCTGAAGTTGGCAACAGGTTTTTAGTCACGAACTGAAGTTATTATTAATTTAGTTGACAGTTGTCAAATGTCATACAATCATTAAAATAAAGTGCCTTTCTTGTAAAATAATACTAAATGTGAAAATTATTTTATTATCCCAATACAAAAATAGGTAAAAGGTATTAAATAGTTTCTCAACGCCAATATTTGAAAAGTTTATATGAACATTGCACTGACCTTTTAATTTCACCGGCAGTAAACTATAACTTAAATTCGGGCTCGGACTCCACTGTAAAGTGCTGTAAAAAACTGTCCATTTTAATAATCTGTGTTTATAAAATATACAAATGTGACATTTGACGGTGACAAAGATTCCCTTATTGTTTCATAGATGTCGCTCTATACAAATATTTGATTTAAATCATTTTAAGATAAAAATAAGTAGGTATTTATCGTAGAAAAAGTATAGTATGCACCTCGTTTATAAACTTTTCTATACACTCATTAATTTAAGCACTCGCTCGCAAGCTCGCTTGTGCCTAAACTAAATTCGTGTATAAAATAGCGTTTATCAAACTTGATACATAATATACTATTACTTTACTTTGTTAGTAAATTAAACATGTATTAATATTTAAAGTTCATTTTTTATATCTGGACTGCGCCAAAAAAAAATGATTTGCTGCTCAATAATTTTAATCATTGTTAAATTGCAATTTTTGCCGATTAACAAAACTTGACTTATCGCTATGGAAAATTTCTGGTAACTTTTTAATAAAAGTAATTTTTAATATAATTGAAAGTAGGTAGGTACCTACATTTATCTTGACAAATTTGAATTGAAATGATTTCAATTATTTTGTTTTTGTGACTTTTATATGTGTCTATTTTATTTGAATTTACTTGGTATTTTTCACATGACCATGTTTTAAAATAATCTTTTAAAGATAAAAAATTGTAGATTTTATTTAGTTTACTTATAAAAAGTGTCATTTTACAGATATCCGACAATTAAAAAAAGGCTCTTGAATCCCATTATCCTGAAAAATATCTGCAAATGATGGCCTCTAAATGTCGTACAAAGGGGCTGTCAGAAACAGACCAAAACGCAAAATTTTGAACATCCTCCCTTAAGAAGCGCTTCATAAGAAACACAACGTTTCAACCAATACGAATCCTCTTAAGTCCAGTCAATCTAATACTGCAACCCTATTGGTTGCTTTGGGGGTAGTCACCGCCCCAATCGATATAGCATAAGGGTGTGTACAGTATATTCACCCTTATGATAAAGGGTAGTAGATAGCTTAATTCACTGCGTTTGCCATTATTTCGCAACTACAGGGTGTATATAAGAGAGTCCCTGGGGATTTAGATTAGATTGAAATAATATTTGAAAGTGTCAATACGTTTCCATTGTGGATATATCAATTTTATAATTGCATTTGTGTGTGTGCTATTGTGGGAAAAGTGATTTTCAAAAAACCAAAAAGGATCATGTCTAGGGGACAATTACCAGATTCCTCTTCATCTCCACCTATGAAGTAAGTATTTATTAAATCCCCTTCAAATTTCATTTACTTTTTAATATAATGATGCAACATCAGTTTTAATCAAAAGTTTGTACACAATTTTGTTGTTAATCTATATTTTCCCAGCCTAGCTATCTGTAATAAAACAACAATCGATTTTGTTATATCAAAGATTCCTTAAATTATAATTATAAATATAGAAGCAAGACGTACCTACACTCTGGGTATCGTGGGTATTTTGGGTTTTCTTTACATACATAGTTCTTTGCATAATTAGGTACTTTTAAATTAATGTCTAACCAGTTAGTTTTCCTTTTAGCATGCAATTTGGTGGGTACAGTGCGGGAGAGCTTTCCGAAGAAGAGGTTTCGGATCTCCCAAGCTGTGCTTTCGCCTCTAGACCTTCATCTAACTCGTCTCTTCAACATCACTATCTAACTACACTACACCACAATCCAGGTAAATAAAAACGTGTTTGTACTGGTATTTATTTTTTTTTAATACTTTATTATAGTATAGATATACAGTAGGGTGGAGCGAAATATGAATATTTTTAAAATTGAAAACGCCTGCATATACTTAGAAAACTTGTGTATAAAAAAAAATATTTTGGTGTTTATTTTTTTCCACAGCCCCAGAGCTAGCCTAAATATAAAAATCATAAAATTCAGACGAGGGCAGAAAACGGTTACAAAAAAAATTTTTGAGACAAGATTTTTTAGAAAAATTTTTCAAAAAAAAAGCCCCCGGTCAATTTTAAAAATGCAAATATTTTCATACTTAACATTGTCTGAGGGTCGCTTGTTTTTTTTTTTTAATTAAAGTGCTCAGCTTTGGAGTTATGGACTTGCTCAAAATAAACAACTTGGCTAAAAAAAAATGTATATTTATATTACCGTTTTTGTCCCAGCTCAAATTATCTTCGGCAGTGGAAGAAATTTAAAAATATATATATTTTTTTCACCAACATGTTTAATTTGGACATCAGTAACTTTTCCAAAATTGGACACTTTGATTAAAAAAAAAAAATAAGCGAAATGGCGGATCCCCAGTCAGTGTCAAATAAAAAAAATATTTGTATTTTTAAAATTGACGGGAGCCCCCATTTAGCTTATTTTTTTTTAAATCAATATGCCCCATTTTCGAAAAGTTACTGATGTTCAAAATAAACATGTTGGTGAAAAAAATATATTAATTATGCTCTTAAAATATCTTGACTCAAAAAAATAAAAAGATATATAAAAAATTAATATTGTATTGTATATTATTTTTTCTTCTTTTAGATAGTGGTCAATGTGGAGGCAGCTCCTTAGGTTCTAGTTCTGGAGACTACTACGGTTCTTCGCCATATCGAGTCCAAAGACATGCTGCCAACATAAGAGAAAGGAAACGGATGCTGAGGTCTGCTATTGGACCCACCGGGTACACCTGTCTTATATATGTGGCTTGTTTTTTCAGTTTTGTGAATTTTATTAGGTGATTTTTATTTACATTTATTATTTTATGATTTTTTAGTAGAACTTAAAGTTTTAAATATTATTTGCCAGTTAATATCAGAGCATGCGGAATCGTTCATTATAATGTATGTTTGTATATAATATACATTCTCCGGCAAAAAACTCGGCCACCAAATTAGCCAGAATTTTAAGGTTGATTTCCTCGGCTCATTTAATGATTTTTTTAAATGTTGGTTGACTCTTTATGTACGATGCTATGGTGAATCTTTTTGTTCAGATTTTAATTTGAGCATATACAGGCTTGCAAAATTAAGAAGAATTTTTTTACACGAAATTTGTGAAACCCTGCAGAGAGGTGCATCAGCAGTAACAGTCAATTAAAATCATACTGTAGTACTATATTTTTAAAACATTTGGTTTTTTATTATCTCTGTTATTAAAGATAATAATTGAAGATGGTCGAAGTCAACGTTATGTGTACCTATATTACTTTATGCCACAATACGAGAAATATCCGTCACAGATTCACAAATATCTGTCACATATATTTTCTCATTTAACAACCTTCGACAACCTTTACTGTCATATTTAAAAATAACTAACATTCGTTCCAGAGTATATTATAACTTTTTACATGGGAAGACTTTATGCGGTGCGTTTGCTTTAAAACAGTGTATCTTCGTTAATAACGGAGATAATAATGCAAATAAAAAAACACGTTTAAAAAAGATAGAGCTGCAGTAAAATTTAAATTGACATTTGCTATTGTTGCTGATACATCCCACAGGGTGTGACAAATTTCAGGGAGAAAAATTCGTCTTAATTTTGCAACATCAGCTGTTATTACTGATGCACCCTACATGGTGTCACAAATTTCAGGAAAAAACTTCTTCTTACTTTTGCACCCTTTATATGCTAAAATAAAAATCAAAACAAAAAATGTATATCATAGCATCGTTACGGAAGAGTTAGGTACCCTACATTTAAAAAAAATCATTTAAATCAGATTAGCGTTTCGTAGTGAAATCAAGATAAAAAACTATGCCATTTTCTAGTGGCAGGTTTTATTGCCACAGAGTGTATATACACGGTGCTGTTCTGAGAGGTGATTTTTGGACTTTCTGTGAAACCTAATTTTTTTTTATATTCTTGTTAATTAGGTCATAACTAAAATTTTAAGAGCAAAATAAAAAAAATTTGACGGTTAATTTTGTTTTAATTGGATGTTTATTAAAAATATGTATGCACACTTTCAATTATCCAATTAAAACTTGCGATTTTATTTAAATATTATCATAACTTTTTAAATCAGATTAAAGATTAGTTAATTTTCTAAAAAAAGGTCTATACATTTTTTATATCTTTTACTGTTTTGTTGTAATACACGTTTAAAGTTTTAATTTAAGGTTAAATGTATAGTATACATTTATTAAACAATAATTCTGAGGGTGCCACATTTTATTTAGGGCCGATTTATTCATTTTTGATTTATTTGACGGATAATTTCTTTGGATACTAGATATTGCCAAGACATGAAATAAACTTTAATAAAGATGAATAAACCGGTCCTTAGTTAAATTTTATAAATTTCTTCGTAACTTTTACTACAATTTTTCATTTTTGTTTATAAAAAATACTTTAAAAACTAAACAAAAATTATAGAATACGTATACTGAAAATGACGTCAAATAAATTTTTAATAGATCTAAGTTTCATGGCACCCTTTAAGGATATATTAATTAAGGGAACATAAATGTATACGTCAAAGGTTAGATTAAAAGTTTAAACGTTTATTGCAACAAAACAGTATAATATATAAAAAAAAATTTAAAAACCTTTTTTTTAGTGATGCAAATATTAAATATTTAAATTAAATCGCTAGTTTTAATTGGATAATTGAAAGAGTGCATAATATTTTTAATAAACAGCCAATTAAAACAATTCAAACCGTCAAATTTTTTTTATTTTGCTCTTAAAATTTTAGTTATGACCTAATTAACAAGAATATAAAAAAAAATTAGGTTTCACAGAAAGTCCAAAAATCACCTCTCAGAACAGCACCGTGTATAGTATACATGATATACCTAAATACTAAATATTGTGTATACAATATACAGTATGTCCCCGGATGGGGCATTTTACAGAAAAAAGTCATTCCTCATAAAAATGCCTGCTTAGTTAAAAAATGACATCCCCTTCAAAAAATTTTGAATCAAATGTACGGAGTGCTCAGAAATTAGAAAACATGAGAATTCTTCATGAAAGAAGTACCTTTATAAATTATTTTATTAAAAAAATTTATAAAAGAAATTCGATTACAATTCAAATTAAAGTCTAAATACAAAATAAAAAAAAATATTTTGATTTTATAATTTTTTTTTTTCGTAATATTTTCATAATGTTTTTTTTTGTTTTGTATTTAGAATTTAATTTAATTTAATTTGAAGTTTCATGGATCTTCACATATAAAATTTTGAATAAAATAAAATAATTTTTTTATAAAAATAAGATAAAATTTTTTAATAAAAAAATTAAATTTTTAAATATAAAATATATTTTGTATTTAGACTTTAATTTGTATTGTAATCGACTTTCTTTTATAAAATTTTTCAATAAAATAGTTCATAAAGGTACTTCTCTGGTGAAGAATTTTCATGTTTTTCTAATTTCTGAGCACCCCGTACATTTGATTCAAATTTTTTTGATGGGGATGTCATTTTTTAAATAAGCAGAGATTTTTATGAGGAATGACTTTTTTCTGAAAAACAGGTAATAAAAAAGTTTTTCCTATTGGCAACCCCATCCGGGGACATAATGTATATAATATTATGTATATATATTATACATATAATTTAACAAATAAAAACCCAGGAAAACTTCAACTAGTTATCTAAACAATATTTAAATAACAATTATTTTTTTAATAAATCTCCTTTAACAATTTTAGATATGCTCCTTACGAGTATAATATAATATATAATATAACATATTATGTACATACTGTATATACATATATATATATATATATATTAGGGTGTGTCATTTTTAGGGGATATTTTTTTTTTCGCTGTTATACCAGAAAATCTAATACTTTATAGAAAATAAAAAATTATGCCGCCGGGTAAAAGGTTCTAAGTGCAATAGCGGCTTAGCTCATTTAAAAATTTAATTTCCCATTGAAATAACACAGAAAATTTTTTTTGTTCGTTTTAATTAGATTTTTCGCTGTTAAAAACTTTTTTCCCTAAAAACTTTTTTATAGCTTTTGTAGGAAATTAAATTCTCTACAAAATCATCCCTTTGCTCGAAGACCGTTTAACCAGTAGTTTCAGAGTTATAGCGCTGGAAATATAAACTTTTATAAAAATAGACCTCAAATTCCATTTTATTTTTCTTCGAGCAAAGGGATGATTTTGTAGAGAATTTAATTTCCTACAAAAGCTATAAAAAAGTTTTTAGGGAAAAAAGTTTTTAACAGCGAAAAATCTAATTAAAACGAACAAAAAAAATTGTCTGTGTTATTTCAATGGGAAATTGAATTTTTAAATGAGCTAAGCCGCTATTGCACTTAGAACCTTTTACCCGGCGGCATAATTTTTTATTTTCTATAAAGTATTAGATTTTCTGGTATAACAGCGAAAAAAAAAATGTCACCTAAAAATGACACACCCTAATATATATATATATATAGTATGTACCTACAAAAGTTATGCATCACCTAAAATCTTCGTTTAGTTGTGTTTAGTCTTTCGAATCACTACCAAATTTGAGCGATAAAAACTGTGAATATATTTTTCTGTAGACAGGGTAATGGTCTTTAAGGCAAATCAATAATATTACATCAATTATATATTATATATTATTGAAACAAAAATGTCTACATATATGTATAGGTTGCAGCCTGCAACTTGCAGGAAGAGATAATTTTATTATAAGCTACATGAGGGGTGATGTATATCTTTTGAACCTATATTAATAAGTGATAATATGCGATTAATTAAGCTTCATGCTCCTATACAATATTATTTAATATTATTGATGAAATAATAAAAATCCATATAGAATATACTTACCGAAGTTTTAGAAGAAACAAAAGTTCTGAAAGAAGAATTTGACCCTATTAAAAATGCCATATAGAAACACAAAATAAAAATCTATCAGGTTCAATATAGGAATTTGAAACATGCATTGCACTATTGAACCAGATAGAATTCCATACCTGGAAAACCATATAGAAAAGTGATTTCTATATGGATTGCCATATAGGTTCATATTGCTCTATCTGGACCAATATGGTTTGGGTGTGAAAAAATTATTACCATATAGATCCATATTTAACCATATAGGGGAATCTATATGGTTTAATATGCAATTTTCGTTTAAATACATATACATTTTAAAATGGAATTCCATATTCAACCATATAGGGAAACCTATTTGGAAAGACACATAAAACAGAAACCAGATAAATTCCATATAAAAATCCGTAAGTTGTACATTTTAAAATGAAATTCCATATTAAACCATATAGATTCCAAAGTGTAAACCAGGTCGTTCCATATAGGACATATAGAACCATATAAATCCATATTAGTTTCCTTATCTGGATCAATATGGGTTCTATAGGGCATTTTTAATAGGGGAATTAGAGACGAATATTTTTATGTGAATATAAATAACCAGTTAATACGAAATACAAAGTCTAAAATTAATTAAATGTTAGATAAATTTGGTAAAAACTTTTTGAACAGTAAGAAAAAAGTTTAAGTAAGTACCTACCTATAGGGATATTCGAATAACATTTGGAGTTGGATTTCCTTAGATTTTTATTTGTTGAATTTACTTAGGTGAACACAAAATTCTTTTTATAATTTACATACACAGGGTGTTCCAAAATTGGCAGCCCAAAAAAATAGTAAAGGAAAATTCGTATGAATTTCTAGAGGAATTTACCTTCACCCCATGGGCCGCCAATTTTGGGACACCCTGTTAATAACACTGTGCGACAAATTTTGACCTTACATTTTGAACTGGGATGAAATGTGGAAAAATCGAATCTATGCAACCCCCAAAACTAATCTTTAAAGGGGGTTTGCTAGTTTAGCTCGAATAATGGAGATATATAAAAGCCCCTAGAACTTAAAAAATATGAATTTTATAGAAAAATGCTCGGACACGTCGATTTTTATTTTATATGACGCAATTTTCAGTTGATTTTGAAATTTTTATTTTTTCACAGATTCACCCCCAGCCACCCCATTTTTTTTTTTAAAGAAAACCGACCATTTGTTATACCTTAAATAACAGGTAATGTATACATTCCACAGATTCACCCCCAGCCACCCCATTTTTTTTTTAAAGAAAACCGACCATTTGTTATACCTTAAATAACAGGTAATGTATACATTACCTGTTATTTTAGGTATAACAAAGGGTCGGTTTTTTTAAAAAAAAAGTGGGGTGGCTGGGGGTGAATCTGTGAAAAAATAAAAATTTCAACATCAACTGAAAATTGCGTCATATAAAATAAAAATCGACGTGTCCGAGCATTTTTCTATAAAATTCATATTTTTTAAGTTCTAGGGGCTTTTATATATCTCCATTATTCGAGCTAAACTGGTAAAACCCCTTAAAGGATTTGTTTTGGGGGTTGCCTAGATTCGATTTTTTCAGATTTGATCCCAGTTCATTTTTTGTGTTGCACAGTGTAATTTAAGGGAACAAATATAGCTAATCTAGTTTACCAAGAATTTATATCAACATAAAATGTAAAAAGTGTCTTGTTAATCTAAACTAAATTTACCCAATAATACAACTGAGAAGCGAACAAACAAAACACAATAAATCCACTTTCAGGGATTTTTAGTAAATTGCGAAAATGTCTTAAATAGTTTTTAAAACGGTTTTGGGTAACCTTTTGTATGACGAGAAAAATATTGGAAAAGTTACGTTTGCGTTTACGTTTTGAAAAATGGATTTATTGCGTTTTGTTTGATCACTCCTCACCTCCAGTTTATCTAAGAACTTCCCAATCTAATAATAATTCGTTTGTAGCAGTATAAACTCTGCATTCGACGAGCTGCGTATGCACGTGCCAACGTTTCCCTATGAAAAACGACTTAGCAAAATCGACACTCTTCGTCTAGCAATCGCTTACATCGCCCTGCTCAGAGAAGTCCTTACCGCCGACTGTGATCCACTGACTTACGTCGAGAGGTGCCTCAGGGGCGAAATCAAAGCCGATAGGGCCAACTGGAATACGAGTGGTAAGATTTAATGTTAGGAATTAAAGAATCATGTAAAAAAGGGCGTAAATATAAGGACCCGTTTTCGATTGAAACAACTATAGGCATCGTTTCAAATATTTGATGATATCTATAATCATCATCAAATTTACATATTTCTTCAAATTTTATTAAAAGCTACTTTTTAGCTACCATTTTTAACAATGTATAATTTTAGATTTGACAGCAAGATTATCCTGGATAAATTGGGAAAACTTGGGAGTCACGCCAGGACGAAGAAGTGCTTTAACTTCGTTAGCTTTAACTTCAGAGAATTTAAGTAACTAAGAAATAATATTTTGTAAATAATGTTATATGTATGTTGTGTATACTGTTTTATAGAAGGAAGTGCAATATTCTTAAAAAATAAAAATATTTAACATAATGTTCTAATTTTATTTGTACGGTACAAATTGTACCTAGGTTGGAATATTCAAATATTTAACAAAATATCCTGACACATACACGTAAATTTGCGTTTTTGTTTGCCTTTCAGGCAGCAACAGATTGACTTGATTTTTTGCATAGAGATAGTTTATGTCTTTTATTTATTTTTTTCAAAAATTCCCAGAACCTAGGAATTTTTTCCACGTTGCCAAAATTTTCAAAAATTTGTTTTAAGGATGTTCCAGATTGCTAAAAAAACCTCAGAACTTGTGAATTTTCCATCTTTTACTATTTACCGTTGTTGCCAAAATTTTTAGGATACCTTCAGTCATCTTGCACTATATAGCGGTGTTGCCAAATTGAAATATTTTTTTTGCTATTGATATTTTTATACTTTTGTACACTTTAATTTATCATTGAAACTGCGAACAAGGATGAAAATGGCTGCCCAGTAAGCACCAAACACTCGGCAAACAGTCGGCCTTCGTTCGGTATGGGCGGTTGCACCAGCCGGCCCGCTTACCGCCCTCGTTATGTTACCCCGGTACCGTTCTAACCGAAGTCGGCCAGAATACGGAATGCCGCTGCAAAATCCTTCGGCTTGCCCTAGCCGGCCCGCTTACGGCTGGAATACGGCCTGCCGCGGCATAAGCGATACATCTCACGGCTGCTTACGCACGCGAGCTAACTATAAATAGATATTGGTTGCAATATTTAGTTGTAAGTGTGCGTCCGTAATGGCATAGCTGAACATTAATTGTTTTTCTTAAAAAGGGTTTTTTAATAATTTTTCCCTTTAAAAACTCTAACCACAAAAATAAATACCGAAGCATAATAACATACCTACCCTCACCGCCAATTTTCTCAAAAACAAAAACAATATGAAAACGCCTCTGGATCGCTAATGCGAAGGAAACGGCCAGCTCTGCAACCAAGAAATCAAAGGAGCATACAACATACCACAAGGGCTCAACACCAGCCAGGCACCCACGAAACGTCGGCTCAACCGTACCGGCGAATATGGGCACCTTATATACCAGAGACTGGAGGGACAGTACTGTACTTATCCTACTTTTGTCTTTGTAAAAACTATAATGAAATAATGTGTAAATATTACTTTATAATTATAATTGTATATGTTGTAAAAATCCAATAAGTCTGTGATATTAATTTTAAAATAAACATTTTTGATTTTGATTTGAACATTAATTGTTTGGAGTCTCATATGGGGAGATATCTCCATCCTCATCTGCTCAGTAACAAATAATGTCTAGCTAGTTGAGTGCACTCGTGTGTTAAAAAAGTGTATGTGTTAAAAAAGTTACTTTTTAAAAGTATATTGCCATTCAGAGAATTTCAGGACTGAACTTATAGGATATACCTCTCCAGGACGTCTGTATGCTTTTTTGAATGGCCAGGCGGTTGTGGCCGGCACTCGGCCAACTATACACAGCTGACACTCGGCTGAGTAAACATAGCCAACATTCGGCCAGGCGGATATGCCCGACACTTGGCCAAGCGGACATGCCCTTTCTACAAGCCGAAAGAAATACGTGTGTCGGGCCGCATGCGGACTATTCGGCAAAACGTATCCGGGCCGTATGCGGGCCGGCTAGCTTGTTCTTACTGGGTGCATTCTTCCACTATATTAGCAGAACTGACTTGGAAATTTCTATTCCTTAAATTTAATTGAATTAAACACTATTTTTAATTTGTTTTGCCTCTTTCATTTTTGTTCAAAAAGTTCCCAGAAGTTAGGAATTTTTAAGCGACGGTGCCAAATTTCCAAAAATTAACATTATCTTTTTTTTTTTGCGGTGTTGCCAAATCCTAGAACGGAATTTTTCAAAATCTTTGATACCTTGCACTATTAAGCGGTTTACCAAATTTATATTATTATTTTTTGATACATGATTCCCACTGAGCAAAAAAACGTAAAATATATGTAAAATTAACGTCAAAGGTTGTAGTGTGACGTATAAGAATCTTGTAAAATAAACGTCACATAAACGTCGCTGTGATGTGCCTATGTCCGGATCCTGGGCCGTGAATTAGCCCTAACCGTTACGTGGATAAGGAGACGTAAAAATTACGTTTTTAAAAGGACGTAAAAATGCCATTTTAATATGGACGTTTTTGTTTCCACTTGTACGTAATAGTTACGTTTTTTTAAATAAAACTACCACTTTGGAAATATATTTTTTTTTTATTAAAATAAATTATAAAAATAAAACATAGTCTGGTAAAAATAATAAAAATAAAACATACCGCCTAATTAATTTTCGGCGTCATTCTCATGTCCAAATTTGGCCAAAAAACGTTATGAGCGTTGCTTGGCGGTTTGGAACAACTCCTTGCTCTCTTTATCGAAATCACTTTCAGTCAGACGAAATAATTTCATACTGGCTTCTAAAACAAACATTAATAACTTAAGTTATCTAAGTAATTAAGTATATAAAACTTATATAACTTGCCTGTCGCTCGGCGCAAAATTTGTCTCCCATGTTCACTGGTGTATTAACTGAAAAATCAAATTGATTAAAAGACTTTTCTTTAAGTCTAACAGCATTGATTAATATTACTTCTCACTCAACGCTAACATTTAAATCAACAAAATTCGATAACCACTAATAGCGCCATCATGGCGATATTGGGACAATTAATTAATTATATTATAACTGTATGGTTGCAAACAAATGATAAAGCCAACTTACCTAAACCCATATACCTATAAGTTATAGGTATATGCCTAAACCGTTCAGTCTCGCCTATGGAGAACAATGGCAGTCGCAACGCAAACAGAGTATGCCCTGTTACAGGGCCCCTTTTATACCGATATATCGACTGGAAACGAAATTACCCGAGTCCTTTTTTACGTAAATTTTACATAAAATATACGTTTCTTAATCTCACTATGCGAGAATAATTATTATTTTATAAGCAGTAATATTAATTAATAAGTCACTCTGGGATTTATAATAAGTCATTAAAATAATACCTAATTGTACCTACTTACATTGGTTTCTAAGTAAGTACCTTCGGTTTAATCTAAAATTATGAATTAAATTTGGTATTTAATTACCTAAGTATACACTCAAATTTCCAACAAAAATGTAAATGTAGCATATATTTTAATGTTCATCATTGGCAAACCTATCCCATTCATATTTATCATGTGTCATATTGGTGACGTAAAATGTACGTTCCCAGCTAGCACAAGTCTGTCCTAAGGACGTCCTAAGGAAAGCCTTACAGGATATTGGGATATCCCAAGGATATCCTAGGACGTCCTCAGACCTCCTCAGGACATCCCAACCATGGCCGAGTGGTGCAAAAAAGGCCAGCCTACAGACGTCCCGCAAATGGCCTTTAGGATATCCTAGGGATATCCCTAGGTCCATATAGGTCCAGGAATAGGACATCCTAAGGATGTCCCCTGAAAGTCCCATGGGTATATGTAGGTTCAGGAATGGGATGTCCTGAGGACATCCTCTGAATGGCCTTGTTATTTGTTGGGGATACATTTTAAACAATCAAATACCATTTTATTACTTTATAAAATATATTATTTTAATTCTGTATACATATATATAATTTTACACAGCCAATTATATAAAATAAAAAATAAACACCTATTATAAAAGTTAAATAAATAATAATTCTAAATAAATATAATAGTTATATTATTTATATATACACAGTGTCCAAAGTTATCTGCTCACCATTTTAACTCCATTATTAGTGGCATTTTTTCTTCTGATTAAAATGGTTAAGACAGAATAACAATTGAACATAAGGTTTCTGAAGTAATTACAAAAATATCCTTTATTAAATGAAAAGACAACTTAATATGGAACAAAAAATTATTATAGCATAACTACCCTAAACTTAAAAATAAACAATTAATAAGCACTGGAACTTTCTGATTGTTGTTGAAACATTAAATACGATTTTTTTTATTTTTTAACAAGTATGCTTATTATAACTCACCAGAATGTTATGATTGTTGTTCACTTCAATCTTCAAGCAAATTAGTATTTAAGGTTTATTTCGAAGAGAACACTATAATAATAATATTATTATATTATAACAAACACACTTGGAGAACACAAGATTCACGGCCTTAAACCAGGTTCACGACACAGAAAAAGAATTCACGGCACAGACAAAGAATTCCTTTCACAGTGTTATCTATGATTCTTTTTAACAAAAAGGCGCCAAACAACCATATAACAAATATACAAACAACAATATGCAAACAACTAAAGGGCGTCATCTTAGCTTTCTCTCCACCCAGTGTTACCACCATAGAAGACAATGGTTACCACCATAACGTATGGCGGCAAATTTAAAACAATCGGTAACACAAACTATTAAATAAGTTATAGATTGCGTTTGTAATTACATTTTTAAGGTTAACTGACGCTTACTACCTTATTTATTATTTATGAAACTCTAAATGTATCAATACCTTATAAACAAGGTGTTTGAACAATTATTAATTACCAGCCGTCATTTATGCGCATGCGCTATCCAGTTGTATACAAAATATATTTTGTGGTCATATAACAAATACACAAAATATAATATTGTTTTTAAACTCCCGCCTTTAAAACGCCGATTATCGTACATGTTTCCATGATATTTTAAATACACATTGACAAGTTGTGGCTTTATGGCGTTTTAGTCACGGGCTGAAGTTGGCAGCAATGGCATTCGGACTTTTTAGTCATGGGTTGAAGTTAATTGCAGTTGTCAACTGCGAAACAATGACCATCAAAATAAAGGGTCTAAAAAGTGAGGTTAGAATAGACTGGTCGATGTCAGATTTTATAAATAATTATTTATATATAATTGTTGAAGGTTATTTAATTTTTGTGATTGTCGTAGAAAAAATATAGTATGCAAGTCGCTTATAAACTTAAAAAAATCTATATAATATTATATATAATATTATAATTATATTGATTGACATTTTTAAGATGTGCCTATGCAAAATAAGTTATGTAAAAAATGTAGGTATTATTAATTATATGGATAACATATTCTTATAGAAAAATGTGCATACCAAATGTTTACCAAAACCTAACGGGACATTCTGAGGATGTCTCTGGGATTAGTCCTATGATCAGCCCATTTTAGGCTTTAATTAGGATATTATTAGGTCCTAACGACATCCTTATATGACGTTCCTAGGATATCCCAAAATGGGACCTAAAAAAGATCTAATGTCCGATAAGGTCAACCTATGGACGTCCTCAGGAAGTCCTTATAGGATCATCCCATTCTGGGACATTTAGGCTGGTCCAAGGACGTCCTGAGGATGTTTGTGCTTTCTGGGTTGTGTTTTGCACCTAATACGCTAAAGTAAAATAAAAGGCATAGACTGGACGGTATAGTGACGTGCTCGACAGCACCTTTTATTTTTTAGCGTAATTTTTACGTAAATTGAACATCACTAAAGAACGTAGTTAATGTGCCTTAAAATTGACAATTTTTAAACGTCACTGTGACATCACCACATCCATAATGTTCAGCCAAATCCTAGAACGGAATTTTTCAAAATCTTTGATACCTTGCACTATTAAGCGGTTTACCAAATTTATATTATTATTTTTTGATACATGATTATTTCCAAAATTTTCCAGATCCCAGGAATTAGGAAATCTGGTATTTTGGGGAATTTTTCAAAATTTTCAGGATACCTATAGTAAGTCATCTTGAACTATTTAACCGTGTCAAATTTATTTATTTAAATCCTGCTATATAAATATATATATATATATATATATATATATATATTTGTGAAAATCTTTTTTAGTGTTTGTTTGCCTCTTAGGCAGCAATGGTTCGACGTGTAACATGGTCTACTGTTTTGAACTTTTCCCTATTTTTCTGACTTTTACTAACAACCCGAGGAGGCGGTGCTTTTTTTCCCATACCACGTGAGCTAAGCCGCGGGTCTACAGCTAGTATTTATATATAAATTTAAAAGTACATTTTTCTACGACCTCTATATATGTAAAAGTCACATATATGTAAAAGTCACATTTTGTAATGGCATCATTGCTTAGTAAATGAATCTTTTCATTGGCAAGGTAAAACACGAATGTAAAGTGACATTTCTGTGTGAAAATTGACAGGTCTGTGTGAAAAGAAATTGACAGCATCGTTTGACATTCGTTTCAAAATATGTATTGTATTCGTATAAGCTAAAGAAGTATCGCTAGTAGCGCCACCACTCGGCTGTTATCATCGTATCAAAAGTACAACTTTTGATAATCAGCTGTCAAACACGTGTGTTACAAACGAGTGTTTTTGAAAATAAAGCCGAAAATGTTAAAAAATATCGAAAAAAAAAACCTTGGCACGATTTGTTGTGTTGTTGGGTGTATTTCGAGGGGGAAAATTATTTTTTACTAATTTCTTCAAAATGTCAAAACTTAAATATAAATTATATTAGGTACAGTTATCATTAGTTAATTCTCTACCAAAAAATGTACTCACCGAATTGGATCCTTTGGCAAAACATAAATATTATTAGGGAAACTGTCAAATGTCACATTTTTACATTTTATAAACACAAAAAAAAGTATTAAATAGTTTCTCATCGCGTATATTTGAAAAGTTTATATAAACATTGTACTGACCTCTTAATTTCGCCGGAAGTTTAACTAGATTTAACTAAATTTCAGGTGTAACTGTTGTTAGTCCATTTTCAAGGGATACAATTAGATTTATACACATAAAAATTTGGCATTTTCACTGGAGCGCCGGTAATACAGATCACCAAGTTGGTTACTCTATTGTTTTATAGATGTCGCTCTATACAAATATTTAATTTAAATAATTTTTAAATAATAATAAAATATTTGTCGTAGGGCCATTCCACGATTAACGGATAGGAAAGTTGCCGTGTTTTTATTTACAAAATAATATTGTTCTATTATATTACCAATGTCAAATTTTTATAAATAGTTCTAAACAAAAGCTGTTTAACAAGGTTTTTATTTGGCAAAATTAGGTATCGTGATTGACTGTTTAATTCCTTAAAAATTAATAAGTAGTTAAGCGTAACGGACGGGACTTTTACAAAGTCCCGTCCGTTACGCTTTAAATTATTAGTTTTTAAGGAATTACACAGTCAACCACGATACCTAATTTTGCCAAATAAAAACCTTGTTAAACAGCTTTAGTTTAGAACTATTTATAAAAATTTGACATTGGTAATATAATGGAACAATATTGTTTTGTAAATAAAAACACGGCAACTGTCCTATCCGTTACGCGTGGAATGGCTCCGTAGTAAAACTATAGTATGCAACTCGTTTATATACTTTTCTAAACACTCATTTAATTAAGCACTCGCTTGTGCCTAAATTAATTTTGTTTATCAAACTTGATACATATTATACTACCTATTTCACACTTAAAAAAATGAGCCGCTGTTGTCAATTTACCTTTTAGTCCTGCTGCAAGTTTGTTTAAAGGCCCACCATAATCCAACTCCGAGGTAAACTTGATAAGTTTCACTTTTCAATCTAGTAACTTACCTAATGATTTAATTTAATTTTTTTTGTGGGGTGGGTTATTAAAATAAAGAACAAAAATAGATTATAGAGTTTATTTGACAAAACATATTTAAATAAAGAATAAATTTTATAATTTTGACTATAATCTATGTTTAAGACAATCTAGGTAATTTTAAATTCAGTGATAATTTACATTTTATTTACACTACGTCATGAAATTTTAAAAAGAGATATACATATTGCTCATAAGTCATATAGCGGGTATTAACAATGAATAAATTTGTATGGGTTACTCTGAGTAGGTATAATTTACAAGAGTAAATATATAAAATTATATTTATATTATAATATTATAAGAAATCATAATAATGTGTAAACGAAACAAAAAGGAATGCATTAAAGTATGTGTATATATAGTAGGTATAATATAATAACATTGGTCCTTAAGTGCAAGTATTGCTTTAAAATATTATCTAATTAGTAGTTTGACTAAACTATCAGGAAATAATTTATATATAAAACGACAGAAAATAGGGTTCTATATTATAGTACAATATATATTTCAATATTCATCTCTATCAAACAAAAACCAACTAGGTTGAATCACGGTTTAAGCCACTACGTATAAATTAATGTACTCTAAACTTTCGGCGAATGTTACACTAGCAACAAGTGAATATAAATAGTTTGGTCGAAAAAGTATATCACAAATCAGGTAGTTCAATACAATACAATAGGAAAATTGATATATTCGAAAGGTTTCAATAGCTGCTGATTGAGGCTGGTGTAACAAATACCGAAATAAGTCATCGTTGTTTAGTGACAAGATAGCTGCAACTGGACGGTAAACAGTACTTATTAGATATGCAAGATATTTTATCGAAGACTGAATCGAGACAAACAGGCACTATTTTCACATCTGAAAACCTTGTGTAATACTTACGAGAATCCTTACAGCAGTACATCTGTTAAAATATCTTGAGTGTCGAATGAGAAAAACGTTTAATTGTTAACTTTATCACAAATCAAACAGTAATTTTAGTGAACCAGTCCAGAGCTGGGCGAGCCGATGTTGTCTATTTCCCTTTGCGCCCTACTTATTTTGCTTTTGTCTTTCGGCGTGCCCTGCTCGCCGGTCTCCATCGCGAACATCTTCATCTTCTCCTTGAAGGAGAGTTTCTCGGGCACGGCACCGGTGCTTTGTTGGTTCTTTTGGTTCTGTTGCTCCTGCAGACGGCGCGTCCTCGGGTCTCGGTACACTTCCTGGGCACCGATGACGCCAGGCGTCGCTATGGAAATGCCGGGACCGGCGTCTGTCGGCGTCGTGGGTGATGCCAACATGGATTCGGCTTCGCGAATGAAACTCTGAAACGATAATAATGTACATTAGCAGGGTTCCTTCCAACAATATAATTTCAATTTCCAAGACTTCCATGTTTGAAGGAATTTTTGAAGAGAATGGAGAGTGAATTGTGAAAAATGTAACGTTCCGAGATTTCGTTACACGAGAGAAAAAAAGATATAACGTAGAGAGAATAACGTTGAGAAAAGGAGAAAGAGAGCTATACGAGTGAACCCGAGTGAATCCGATCGCCCCTCCCCAGACGCCCCTTCCCAGATGCATTGTATGCAGATTGCCGGCGTATGCGAGGATTCATTCCGTTTTAAGATAAATTAATTCCTTTTATTTAAAATTATAAGTTATAATGTCCTACACATTGCAAGAGATTTACATTGACATGATAAGCTGGTCAAAAGATCATTTTAATTGTTAAAAACAATAAACATTCATTATAATCAAATTTTCAATTACAATTTCCAAGTACATTCTTAATGTTAATTATTTAATTTGCTTATAAATTGTTAGACACGGATTGGTCGGGTGTTGAGGTTACAGCCATCTTCAAAAAACTATAAAAATAATAACCGACAGTCCTTAATATATACACGCAAAATATATTATCAATATTGCCCCTAAATCGCATTAGCGAAGGGAATGGCGAACTGCAGATTAATTCCGAATTGTAAGATAGATTTTGAGTAGGCCAAAACATCGGCCAAGGGGGTTTGTTCGTTTTATTTATACACTTATACATATGCTTAAATTTATTTTACAATACTATATACTTATACATTAATATGAATAAATATTTAGAGATGGGAATCGGAAAGTTTCCATTTTAAGGAAACTTTCCGTTTTGGAAAGTTTCCAATTGGGAATTTATTTTCATTTTGAAAGTTTCTTTTAAGCTACCGGAAACATTCCTTGGAAACTTTTCTTGTTTTTTTGTGTGTTAATTTAAGGCAGAAGAAGAAGTATAAATAATGTAAGTTATGTTACATAACCTCAATGAAGCCGGATTATTCAGCATCATCACAAAAAAACCTGGCATAAAAAAAATATTTTCGCAATAAAAATTTTTTTTTTTAAACTTTCGGAAAATTTCGGGAATTTTTGATGGAAAGTTTCCGGGAATTTTCGTCAAATGGGAATTTTCCCATCTCTATAGAGATGGGAATCGGAAAGTTTCCATTTTAAGGAAACTTTCCGTTTTGGAAAGTTTCCAATTGGGAATTTATTTTCATTTTGAAAGTTTCTTTTAAGCTACCGGAAACATTCCTTGGAAACTTTCCTTGTTTTTTTCATTTAAATGTCAATTGTTTAACCGCTGATTTTCGTTAAGGCCAAGATACTTTGAATAAGAATTTAATGTGTGTTAATTTAAAGCAGAAGAAGTATAGTAAGTATAGCAGAAGAAGTATAGTAGTTATAGTTATAGTAAGAAGTATAGTAAGTTATGTTACATAACCTCAATAAAGCCGGATTATTCAGCATCATAAAGTCCATGTCTGACGGTGCAATTTCTCGCAACCAAACTGACGTTATTTTCTACTAGGATTGCCAACATAACCGAAAATTACTTAGTTGAAAAATAAAAATACCTAAACAAATTTAATGTTTATTTAAATCGATTTTGTTTTTCTTTTAAAGTTATAAGTATTTTGTGGTGGAAAAATAAAAACACTCAGATTAAAGCACACGCAAATCACATCTGTCATTCCACAGCTGATAAATATTGAGTACCAACCAAAAAATTTAGTGAAAATTCGTAAAACCCTAAAAAAGTTACTAAGTCGCGGCGATTTTATTGCATGAAAATAGAACATGTTCTATTTTGAGACAGGTTAGATCAGCTGATTAGTTGCATCGTGTGACCACCAAAAAATCGCGGCGACCTAGTCGCCGCAACAAAATCGCCGCGAGAAGTTGCACCGTCAGACATGGACTTAACAAAAAACTTTTTTAAAAAAAGGTAAACAAAATAAAAACAAAAAACAAAGTTAAAATCATTCTTACATTTTTGTTGTTTATTTATAGGCATAGCACAATGCCAAGAGAAAAATCTAGTGTTTGGAATTATTACAAAATAGTGCAAAAAAACAAAAATTTTATCAGTCAGAACTGCAATACTATTTTTAGTATCTTTTACTTTTTAATATTCCTATATATTAGTTACTTTGTCCATTTTAATTTTTTTTTGTAATATCTAGGATTTACTAGCAGTGAATTTCTAATAGTAAACATTTTATTTTTATTTTGTAGGTTTTAGTATACAATAGGAATATTCCAAAGTAAAAGATAATACAAATAGTATTGCAGTTTCATTCTTATAAACATTTTTTTTTTCTTAATAAAATTTGACAAAAAGTTAATGTGTTTTTTGCAAATACCTGGCATAAAAAAAAATATTTTCGCAATAAAAATTTTTTTTTTGAAACTTTCGGAAAATTTCGGGAATTTTCGATGGAAGGTTCCCGGGAATTTTCGTCAAATGGGAATTTTCCCATCTCTACTATTTTGTAATAATTTCAAACACTAGATTTTTCTCTTGGCATTGTGCTATGCCTATAAATAAACAACAAAAATGTAAGAATGATTTTAACTTTGTTTATTGTTTTTATTCTGTTTACCTTTTTTTAAAAAAGTTTTTTGTGATGATGCTGAATATTCCGGCTTCATTGAGGTTATGTAACATAACTTACATTATTTATACTTCTTCTTCTGCTTTAAATTAACACACATTAAATTCTTATTCAAAGTTTCTTGGCCTTGTATCATTAACGAAAATCAGCGGTTAAACAATTGACATTTAAATGAAAAAAACAAGGAAAGTTTCCAAGGAATGTTTCCGGTAGCTTAAAAGAAACTTTCAAAATGAAAATAAATTCCCAATTGAAAACTTTCCAAAACGGAAAGTTTCCTTAAAATGGAAACTTTCCGATTCCCATCTCTAGTATATTGTATAATTTTTTTAGTCATATATGAGTCGTTCAGGGGTCATATCTAATGTAAAACATGATATTGAATGACATCATGCTGACGTCAAATTTACGTAAACGTTACTGGGATATTGTAGTTGAAACATTTTTTCCTTAGCTCAAAATGCCACTTAAAGTAACATTGTAAGTTACAATATTATTGCGACATTCTTGCACGCAAATGCGAGAAAATTATTAATAAAACTTAAAACTTACATTTGGATCTTCCCTGATATTCTCTTCGATTTGCAAAGTATTGGGCGGCTGACTGCCGCCGCTAACCGCAGACGACGTGTCATTGAACGAAACTCTCTTCGTGCTTTCCTTGGCGCGCATCGACATGACCGCGAAGCTGCTGCCCCTCTCTGGCGGCTGCGGAGCCAGCACCTCCGTCGGAGACGTCTGCATCTGCTGCATCGGAGGCGGCTGCTGTTGCTGCTGCTGCTGCTGCTGCAACTGATGTTGTTGCTGTTGCATCTGAGGCTGGTGATGGTTGTGCTGATTGTTGTGTTGGATGTGATGGTGGTTATTGTTTGTTACCGAATTGTTGATGTTAGCGTGGTTTTGTTGTTGATGTTGTGGGGGAGATAGAACGCCGCCTGGTTTCAAGATGGAGGTAGGCGGGGCTTGCGATGGTTCTTGTTTGCTGACCACCGTTGTTGAGTTTACTGTGCTTATAACCGTCTGACTAGACACTGGTTTAGGCATGTGGGATGGACTTTCCTGAAAAATAATTACAGAATAAATATCTATCAACAAGTAAAATAAAATCATAAAAGACATTTGTTATAAAAATGTTGTCAGGCCGTTCGGAGAACAATATTTATTAATGAAAGGTTGATAAAATGTTGAACAAACATTCAGGGAAAAATATTTGTATAACGCGTAAATATTTCTAAAACATGCGACGCTAAGTTAAAATAATAATTATTATTTTAACTTAAGTTATTAATAAATTATCCTGGAAAAATTACTTTGTTTGTTTTTAAAAATTAAAAAACAATAATATTTTTGGTTGTCTAAGCGATTTTATTAGGTTTATGTTAGTTTTTTGTTAATAAGAAATTTACCGATGGGATAATCGTCTTCAATTTGGTGGCAACAAAATCTTAAGGTACCGGCGCGGTTCAGTACACTTGCACTCATAAATAGCAATGATAATCTAAACAATCAAAATAAATATAATACATACATCTAACAGAAAGGATTATCTGGATAATTTATCCAGATAATCCTTTCTGTTAGATGTATGTATTATATTTATTTTGATTGTTTAGATTATCATTGCTATTTATGAGTGCCAGTGTACTGAACCGCGCCGGTACCTTAAGATTTTGTTGCCACCAAATTGAAGACGATTATCCCATCGGTAAATTTCTTATTAACAAAAAACTAACATAAACCTAATAAAATCGCTTAGACAACCAAAAATATTATTGTTTTTTAATTTTTAAAAACAAACAAAGTAATTTTTCCGAGCGGGATTGAACCAGACTTTAATTAAAGTTAAATTATTTTTATCATCCATCCGGAAAAATCCGAAAACATAAACTGCGATGAAAAAGGGCATTTTACCGGAGTTACAACAATGGCTGGCTTAAGCTAAATTTAAAATAAGGAAGTTAAAATGAAACAAAAAGAGAAAACAAGACTGTAGTAAGAAAAATATTCTTTTATGTCTGTGATTTTTTTCAAATAAATTTTGTTTTTTAAATATTTTTTATTAAGACGTGTAATTTTCTTGTATTTTTAGCGTGCAAAAAATATATCTCCAGCTATGGTATATGTTTTAGTATATCTGATATGACAATACCATACCACATCTACTTTTTGCACTCCAAAACAAGACAATTCAGTACACAAAAAGTATTGGGTGTCATAAGTCTTTTATAAATATCAAAGCAGCATTTTATCAACATTTACAACATTGTTAAAATAAATATGCAATAAACTGTAAATATTTTGAAACTTTTTCCAGATATTTTTGTGACGTTGAAGAAACATTAATAATATAAGGTAATGAATCTAAAACATTTACAAAAATGTTTTAAAAATGTAAAAAATATTAGAATCATTTAAATGATAATGTCTAATATTTCTAAAATATTTAGTTAATTTAGCAAAAATATTCATTCAAAATTTTAAATATATTTTTGTGTTATGTGGGAAGTTTGAAAGTTTGATAGTGAATATTTCCTAACTATTTAAAAAAAATATTTGCGACTAGTTTTGGTGGGTGGTAACCATCTTCAGCCAAAAACGTTTCAAACTTAAAACGCGATTATCTCGGTATATATTTTTTAATTTCCACCTTCTTAGTAAATGACATTTTATAGGTTAATTTTGTTGTTTTTGTATCCAAGTAAATGATACATTATGGGAACAGACCTGTAATATTTTACGGGCATGAATAACAGATAATTATTTATAAGTTGCTATTAATATCACCTATGATAATAACACGCAAAGCAGTATGCTGCGCAGAGCACAGAACAATATGCGCATACTGCGCATAGCGGAAAGGTGCGGGAAGAAACAATTCGTATGAGTTCACTAGGGAATGCAATCTTGCAGCAAAATGTACATGTATATTGGTATTGCAAGATTTAAGTGGTGTAATCTCGGAAGATCTCGGTATTTTGCGAGATCTCACAGATTTAACCAGTAACTGTGTAGCTTTCGGTTGATTGTCCGTCAGTACTCTACCGGTGTCAACGAAGCGCGATATTTTACTTCGTGTACGATATTACCATTTTTCTACAAATTGGGGTTTGCGTAACCCCACCTCACCAGTTTACTAGACATTTTTTTAAACTTTGTTCCTTTGTATGTTTGTAACGAATTTTAGAAACGTGTTTCGCTTTTTGTAGTTTTTTATTCTATAAGTTTTGTGGAGCCTCGCAATAAAATTTAATTACTGCTAAAATTTTTGTTTTTTTATTTTTGTTAAAAGCAGGTATTATAATCAATGAACGTTACCCAAAAGTGAATAACATACGCGTAATTTTATTTTGATTTCGAAGAATCGCCGTTGTCTCTTGGGGTTTGGCAAACCCCACCTTACCAGGTATGTAACAAAAAAGTGAACTTATAAGTTGGTATACCAGTTACGGGTTAAGATTAATAAAAAAAGAAATTAGTATAATTATTTGGATTCCTTTGTTAGGTTATATCGTTAGGGCAAAATAATGAAATAAAACTTACGGGTTAAGATTAATAAAAAAAGAAATTAGTATAATTATTTGGATTCCTTTGTTAGGTTATATCGTTAGGGCAAAATAATGAAATAAAACTTACGGGTTAAGATTAATAAAAAAAGAAATTAGTATAATTATTTGGATTCCTTTGTTAGGTTATATCATTAGGGCAAAATAATGAAATAAAACTTAAATAATTTATTTAAGAATAATTATCAAGCCCGTTAAAGGTGAACGCGACATAATATGTACAGTTCCATTAGAGTTAGCCTTTATAGAGCCTTTAGTTTATTAAAAGCACGTTTATAAAGAGCCATATAGAACCTTTACGGTTGTGTTTGCTGGGAGAAGCATTTTAAATAATCTTTAAAATGCTTAATAACTGTAGATGGCAGATGCTTGAGCGCTTTGCAAAGCGCTCATAAGTGCTCATAAATGTTCATAAGTGCTCATAAATGTTCATAAGCGCTCATAAATTCTCAAGCATTTATAAACGATGAAATATAAATTTTATAAAAAAAAAATTGAAAAAAAATAGTAAGTAACCATTTTGGAATTGGATAAACCTGCACCACTTTTGTGACCTGCACATGTTCTGATGTAAACAGTAGTTATTTGTTGGTTAATTAAATTAACTTAATTTATAACCCCGCTGTTTAGTTTTGGCGCCAAATTCAAATATCGAGCACTTTGGTAAATGCTCAAGCGTTTATCAGCATTTAAGAGCACTTATGAAAGCTTTTGAAAGTGCTCATCCTTCTCTCTTAATAACCCATAGAAATTTAAAAATAAGATGTTTATAAAAACTACAGAAATCACAATTTTTTTTTAATATAACAAAAATAACATAATTGATACAATGAAAATATTCTTACCTTTTCTGTGTCTTCATCGTCAAGTTCGGCTTCCTCCTGCGCCCGCCTCTGGAACTCCTTCTCCAGCTGCAACGCTCTGAGCTGTTCCTCCTGCTGCGCAGTGCGGTATGGCAACGAGGACAACTCCCTGATCTGCTGTTCCTGCCACTGCCTGGCCGCCTCCCTTCTGGCTTCCCTTTGACGTTCCTGCTCCTCTCTGGCCCACGGATCGCGCGGCGTCTTTCCAGAACCCACAGTACCTTAATTAATAAAAAATAATTTAATAAAATGTGCCATAAAAATTGTCTTAATTAAAAAATCTCAAACACAAATACCTGTATTGTCGAAAATAAATTTAATTTTTTAACTTCAGTGTTTTAAAAATTTAATATGCTTAGCATTGTTAAAGATAAAAAGTACAGCATAGACTTAAACTGTATTAAAAATATCAACCTTGGCTAGATTTAATTTTTTAGTAATAGTACAACATGTCAAGAATATTTTTCCAATGTTTTAAGTCAATCGGAGTAAAACTCTAGAAGCCTTTAAAAACTTCTTCCATTAGGCTCATTTTATTACTACAAAAAAATTTAACCGCTTTTCTCTGGAAACTCTAATATTGAAATCGCTAGGCACAATTTCTCAAAAACTAATTCATCGATCCTATTAAAATTTTGCACACTTTTTTCAGACAAATTTTCCAGATAAAATTGACTGAAAGGTAGATTTTTTCTTTGATATAAGGTGTTCATTATGCCGAAAAATGCTTGATTATCGAGATACAGGGTGTTTTGTTTAAAAAAAAAATATTTATAGCTATTTGTGTATTAAGAGCGCAAAGTGATACATTGTCGCTTGAAGCGAGAAGTTTGCGCGATGCGTAGCGGAGCACGGCTATCTCGCGAGAGCGGCAATGTCACTTTGCGCTCGAATTACACACAGGATTTTTTCTACAACCGGCGTTTTTATAAGAATGTTTGGTAAAAATTAATAATTATTGATAAACTCAAATTTGACTTTTGTGTCAAAAGTCGCAAATACACTAAACGTTTCTTTATTATGGTTTCCATGGTAACTAAGAGAGCGTAAAAAAACGTGCAACTTTGCGCTTTCTTTTGGAAGCGCAAATTTGTACTTTTCGCTTGATTGTAGAAAAAATTTATTATCTGCGAATTTAAAACATGTAAATTTTATTTTTGAACATGTAATCCAACTTTTGATTCTGACTTTACTTCTTGTAACATTTTAATTGACATTTTTTTAAATTAATTAATTAACTTTTTGACCTGTATCCTTATTCACATGGAATAATTCGCTAAAACATGACACGGTCACAACCACAGTATCAATCCTTTTCACTCTTCTTAAAAATTGAATAATAAATCCCTTTCTAAATTACCTGAATCTGGGATCACAGAAATTATACTGCGCGTGTATAAAAACATAACATTGTTATCGTCAGTTGCTTTGAGACTGAGAAGTGCGTAAAGTCGCTCCGTATACATGACAGTGCAAGTACTGATTTTATTAAAGTTTATGAAATAATCAACAATTATAAAAAAATGATTAGGTATATTACATAATGTTTATATAACTTCATTCAAAAATAGACACAAAAGTATATTTAAATAAAATACGATAAAATATATCGATAATTTTTTGTAGGTAAGTTTATTAAGGATTATTAAAATCAACCTTAATATTTGAAATTAATTACTAATTGTGATTTATTATATTTTAAAACTTATGTAAGTCCTTCTAACAAATACCAAATTAATTTATAATTTTTTAACAAATGCTAAAATAATATTATATATTTAAAAAAATAGAAAAGTAAAACAAGGAATTTTCTTAAGAATTGCGAAATAAAAATAATAATAAAAAAATAGTTACCTGTGGGATAGAATGACATCTTCGGCGGGTCCTGCGTACTGGCTGAATACAAAGGATGCGTACTGGTTGGCGGCAATTCCGGAAGATTTTCGATATTTCTTCCGGGTTTAGGAGCCGTCAGAGTTGACTTGGGTGAAAAGTGACCCGTGGGACTCATAGCGTTATTACCCGGATAAGTCTGCGGATAATTCTGATTCAAGTTCAAAGTCAGATTCTGCATGCTCTGTGTGTTCTGCATATGCGTGTTGTAGTATTGCTGTTGCTGCTGCTGCTGCTGCTGATAATAATTCGGACTGTTCTGCATGTGTTGAGGCGAGAGGGGATAATTTGGAGCGATGATGCGGTTCTGTCTTCTGCGCACCTCTTCGCTCATCTCGGCCATCTTTGCTTGGCCGCGCAGATGGCGGTCGTCGCCGATCCTTTGCTGCATGAGATTCGGGTCCTGCGCAGCCCTGATGTTGCCGCTGCTAGCGTAGCGCAGCATGTCGTTCTGATGGTTCATCGCGTGGTGCTTCAGCATGTCCTCGCTCTTTGATGTGCGCATCTCGTTTTGTCTGCTTAAGTCGTCCTAAAAATATATTAAGAGTTAAAAATATATCAAAAGAACCTTGTAAAAAGCTTAATTAAGTATTGTTATGTACCTAGATATAAAAACAACTATGTTTGTTGATATTGTATTAAATGGTCAAATTATTATTATTATTATTAAATTTATTTATTAGATTTTTCATTATTATTCTCTTTCAATGTATTAAGCAATTTTTGTTCAGGTAGACCCAAAAATATTGTACCATAAAACATAAACATAAATCACTTGAAACTTACAAAAAAACATAGTTGTTTTTATATCCACATAATAATAATAATATGGAGTTTCATCAAGTTAGGGTCGAAACAATTAAATGCTTAATTAAGTTATGGAAATAAAAAACGTTAACATAATATGTTAACGTTTTTTATTTCCATATTATGTTAACATATGATGTAGAAGTGAAACTTCTCCGCAATGTTTCCAATCATACCAAGAAACGAGTTAGGAAATTGGTTAAATTTGTTGTTGAGTATGAGTGAGTATGGGAACGTATGGCAGGCCCCATCGACATTATCTTACACTAATCTCCCAGGGTTATTTTACCCCCTTTCCGTTCTCCTACGTATCCTGCCAATTCACAGCATTACCTGTGTTTGTTGGATCCGAAGTTTTTACGCCGGCTGGTAGATCCACCCTAGGAGGTCGTGGATGACAGTGTCTATGGTTAAGGCCGCTCCACGGATTTTTGTCAGCCGGGTCGGGCCATACGTCCAATTTAGGCTAGAGGAGTGCGGGATAAGGAAGCTAGTGGTGGTTTTTGGAGGACATTGAACTGACCCAAAACTAAGTACAATCTGGAATCCTCCTCAACCTGGGTCTTAGTAATAACCCCATTCAATTGGGATTCATAAATGGGGGTCGGGGTGTTACTACGCTGCTAGAACCTGTCCTTGTTGGTGAACTTCTAAACGTCTCTATCCTAGTCTGTTTCCGGTTCCTGGTAACCTCTTTAGAATTGTTTGTCCCCCTGTGAGGTACTGAATCTTGTCTTTAGTACCGAAGTGTTGACGGCCACGACCCGCCATAAGTGCCCTCTGCCTTCGTGGATATTCCTCATGCCGAGTACCGGCTACCGACCTTGTATATTCTTTATTTGTTTTATTGTTAAATTAGTGTTTATACCATTTACATTTAATTTATATCTTTGCATTCTTACTTTATTTAGTTTAAAAATATAAATATTAATATACAAAATAGATAAAGCCGACCCTGAATTGTACGTAATTGGGATACGGCCCGACCCGCCTCTGCCTTCGTGGATATTCAACCCCTCATGCCGAGTATCGACTATCGACCTTGTATATTCTTTATTTATTTTATTGTTAAATTAGTGTTTATACCGTTTATTATTATTTAATTTATATCTTTGCATTCTTACTTTTTTCCAAATTTAATTTGAAAATATAAATATTAATATACAAAATAGATAAAGTCGGCCCTGTGGTGTATCGTATTAAAATTTTAAATACGGCCCTAATGTCAGGCGTGTAACGTATGCTTTAATAGATGGTTTATTTACGTTATTTTTACGTGGGCGTTTTGTTTATTAGGAGACTGTTTATTTACTTTTGTTATCTTTTAAGCTTTGATTTGTGGCTGGGCTGTAAGTTTATGCGTATATTATATAATATATATAATACAATAATATAATATTGTGACGTTCTTACTTGATTTTTTTTACACTCCTACACTGTTTTAGATAATGATTAATTGTTGCCGGGTTTTTATTACAGATTTGCGTATTAGGTCATGCAATAATACTTATCAGAATCTGCAGGTGATGATCCCTTCCGCTCTTTGTTAGACTCGTTTTTTCTTTAAATAGGTGATTCCTTGACCTGTCCCCTGTCACTTTATTACTTCCGTGTCCGCACAGACCTCACCCCTATGTTCACCGGTACCCTGATTTCACCTGTACAGGTATGTATACATACTATGTATGTATGTATGTATACTATAGTAACCCAAAATAGTAGCACTGTTTTGCACCGCACTTTACTCGACTACACTGTATATAATATTTATGTTCCGTTTTTCAACCATAGTTGAAACTTGGTTCAGCATTTGAACTTGGTTCAAACAAAATATGCCGTTTTTCAATCAAAGTTCAAGCTTGAATTTGGTTTAAACTAAATCAAAAGATGAACCGTCACTGTTGGCCGTTTAAACGAAGTTCAACTTGACATAACTTAATTTTTCTCTGCTTTATTGTGTATTACGTTGTTTATTTCTTGTTTTGTGATCTGCTGTTATAATAAACCAATGGATATGTTTGTGGTAGTTAGTGAGGATGATGAGGAACTTGGCGAATTCCTAAATAATATTCAACTTCGTGTGCACAGGCCACGGGTAAGACCGAATCATTTTGAAAGGTGGAATAATGATGAATTTTTTGCCAGATTTCGGTGTTCCAAACCTTTCGTATGTGGGATAGTGGATTTAATTAGACCAGTTATTGCAAATCCGACCAATAGGTTAGTTATAAAAATAATTACTGAATAGGTAAAATTGATCACATCTAACAAAAAACGACAAATTCATTTTATACTATAAAACGAAATACATACAAATAATTCCTCCTTAAAAGAGGTAAAGTTGGCAGCACGATTTTTATTCATAATAAATAATAATTATTGTTCTTTAATAATAGTAAATTGTTTTAAAGTAACCTTTCGCACAGATTAGGACTTTTTAAAACAGCACAGATAAACAAAACTCCAAAAGTAAACACAAAATCCTTTTGTCAAAATGACAGTTTTAACTACTATTAATGTAGGGCCTACATTGTAGGCGTATACTAAATTCGGTTGTACCAACATAACGTTGACACCGCTGATCTAAGTTCAACAGAACTGCTGTTGAGTCGACATTGAAAAACTCATTTGACTGTGAACTGAGTTCATTAACTGATCTAAGTTCCCCTGAACTAAGGTTTAAACCCTAATTGAAAACCGGCCCTAAGAATTTTATTGTGGATCGGCACTAGGAGCGATCGAACTACACATCCACTATCTTCCCCGTCTTACGATAGACTGGAAATTGGTTAAATATGTTGTTTTTATACTTCTTTGTTTTTTTTTAAACTTCCTGTTATTAATAAAATCAAGCACAGTTTTAGCTTTTTGGGCCCTCTTGCAGAAGAAAAACAAATTTAATTTAGCAGTAAAATATAGCAAAAATGTTGACTTTGGAAAAAAAGTAAATACAAAATGAATTTACTGTAGGAAATTTATTGTTCAGCAAAAAAAAAAGTTTTAAGACATACGTATTTGAAGTTATCACAATTTAAAATTTTATTAAAAATTATTTTTGACACCTAAAAAATAAAATGAGTGGAAAAACATTATTAATATAAATATTATTTAATTATAAAACCATTAATCTTGCAATTTTGATCAAATAAAATTTGAAAAACTTTTTTAAGAGTAGGTACAATAATTATATTAGAGGACTAAATAAATCTAAAATATCATTATGTTAGTTGAACCAATCTAAAAATGATGTGACAGAATTTTTTAACTAAATGCTTGAAAAAAATAGTAAATAAAACACGGCGGCGAAAGCTTATTAATTGCCTCGCACAAAATCTACGGCCTTGGCTATCGCCTCGGCGATAATATGTGCTTTCTCCGCCTGGTCTATAATGAACTATTTTGTAATACCTATATAGGTATTAGTGTCATAACATTAATTTCTTAGGAAATAAAACTTGCAACCAATAAGATTCTTTAATGTAGGGCTGAATTTTATTCAAGCAAACAAAAAAAGCATATTTGTCACATTCGTAATGAATCCGCTGGCCGAGTGAAACTTTGGCCCGCAAGTCGGCACGAAATTTACCATTCACAATAACTTCAGAGTCGAATTTAACGCATGCGCGTTGGTAACTGTCATGTTCTTTGTGAGGTTAGAATTTGGATTATTTTGTTTTTGGTTAGTGCTTTTTTTTAAATGCAAAAATAAACAAGACTGAATCAAATAGTTCATTTAGTGATATTTTTTTTACAATGTGTTTCAAACTACAAAACAATGTAATGTCCTCTTCATTCATTTTGTTTTTAATAAATCACAAGTTTATTTAAAAAAAGCAAGAAACATGTATTTAATCACAATATAACCCTACAAACACAAAACTCAACACCATTGAAAATCAAAGAAATCATTGATAATGTCATCATAACAAAAGCATTGCGCATGTCCCATAGCCGGCACGAAAGTCGATGACGAAATCAAAGTTTGCAGCTTGCAAGAAATTTTTCCCACTTCAACTTCCACTTTAACGTCAAATTTTATTGTGAACATTAACACTGTTAATACATTTGCTTAGCTTGCGAGCCAAAGTCCCACTTGGCCAGTAAATTAATTACAAATGTAGCTTTAACCTACATGCCTTTTCAATGGAAAACTTTAATGACGTTGTTACAGTTCTTAAAACTATTGTTAAGAGCTCAAAATTAAACTGAATTATTTTTTACATACGTGTAGAGCATGATTAGAGTAGATATCAATGTTAATTATTGACAGAATATATTTATATATATACTCTATTGAGAATTATTATTCTATCTGGAAAAACCTAACTGTATGATACTGTACAAATTTGTCCCTACCATTTTTTATATTTATGCCACTTTGTGCATTTTTTCCACTATTTTTTAATTTTGAACCACTGTGCGAATTTGTCCCTTCGTTTTTAATTTTAAAGAAATGTGCGAATTTGTCGTATTATTTTTAAATTTTAAACGGGTACAAACATGCTGGTTGCACCATGGTAGCTAGATTAACCGGCAAAAACTAGTTGCCTGTAAATAACACAAGCGTCTAGGGCAGCCTTACTCAAACTTTTTTTTCTGGGGCCAAATACGTATGACATCAGAAGGCACGCAGCAATAAAATTCAACATTTAAACGTTATGAATTATTTCGAAATAAATGACATTTTGATTGTTGACATTGTGGGAAACTTAAGAAAATTTTAGTTAAATCCGGCTACATGCAACTCTAAACACGTCGTCAATGTAAATAAGTTGGCTGGCTATTACGCATTTTTTGC